TGTGTTCATGTAAGAAAAAACATATGTGCTGAGAGCATGCGCCCTGCTCGCTCCCAGCACACATATCCGGTACTCACGGAAAGGTCCCGGTCTGCTCTTTTGATCGGGACCTTTCCGATCATGTGACTGACTGCCTCAAATCTTCCTCTTAACTCCTCTAGCCCTCCTTTTGGTCCGACATCCAGGGATGGTTTTATGAAGCAAGAAAGGCCAACACATAGTGGTCTCCATATAACACTTTATTATAGCCCCACTAAAGTAATACTTACAGAATAAAAGATAAAACTCACCTAAAATAAGTCCACATCCAGCTCACCGTTCCGCTAGCAAGAAGGTGGTGGCGTGACTTTCTAGGCTCGGCTCCTCTCCCCTAGATGCGTTGCGCCACCTGTCAGGGCTTCCTCAGTAGGTCTGTGGGATGCTCTGAAGAGGGCTGTGCACAGGAGATGCCCTCACAGTCTGACAGATTTGGAATTGTTTTGCAAGGAAGAGTGGGCAAATATTGCCAAGTCAAGATGTGTCATGCTGGTAGACTCATACCCAAAAAGATTGAGTGCTGGAACAAAATCAAAAGGTGCTTCAACAAAGTATTAGTTTAAGGGTGTGCACACTTATGCAACCATATTATTTTCGTTTTTTTTTATTTTTACTTCCCTCCACCTAAAAGATTTCTGTTTGTTGTTCAACTGAGTTGTACACTTTATAGGTTAGATAAAGGTGGAAAAAGTTCAGAAATGATTTATCTTTGTGATTTTTTTACATCACAAAACCTGACATTTTAACAGGGGTGTGTAGACTTTTTATATCCACTGTACATGTTTTGTTAGTTTCATTCATGGTCTGCAGTTAGGCCTGGTTCACACCTATGCATTTTTTTGTGTATTTTACATTTTATCTTTTTAACATGGTTTTCTATAGGGCTTGTTCACATCTCTGCGTTTTCAGCTGTTGTGTTTTTGGAAAGGGTCAGGGACTGTTTTTCCTGCAGCAGATTGCATTTTTGGTGCATTAGACTTAAATGGAACAGCTCCAAAAACACAAATGCTGCATTTTTGATGCGTTTTAAATTTTGCTGTTTTTTTTGGCCAATAGGAAAGTATTGAGTTCAACTTTGATGCAACTTTACAGTCTCTCTGGCACTCAAGTTGCATCAAAATTTCATCAAAGTAGTGCAGGAACCTTTTCAAAGTTGCAGTGACTTTGAAAAGGTTTGCGCACTACTTTGATGCAACTTTGAATGCCAGAGAGTGTAAAGTCACAGCAAACTTGCACTCATTGCTTTCCTATTGGCCAAAAGAAACCTGCATAATGCAAAACGCATAAAAAAAGCAACACTTGCAGTGACTTTGAAAAGGTTCCTGCAGTACTTTGATGCAACTTTCAATGCCAGAGAGTGTAAAGTCACATCAAAGTAGTGCAGGAACACGTTTACAGTTGCAGCTACTTTGACAAGGTTCCTGCACTACTGTGATGCGACTTTGATGCAACTTTGAGTGCCAGAGAGTGTAGCATCAAAGTCACACTCCTTTCCTACCCCCACATCAAAAAGGTGTGTTCAAAAACGCATTGCAAAATGCAACAATCGCAACACACATAGGTGTGAACCAGGCCTTACAGTGCAGACAAGCTAATTGTTGTTATGGTTTGGGCCTGTGATGAAAGCACCTAAAACACAGGATAATAAAAAGCAGATCTAATAGGTTATGTTTGTTCATTTTTTTCAGAAGCAATGTATTTATTAATGTATTCAAATTCAAGCATTTTAAAAGTACAGTTATTCCTAAAGGGTTTGTTTGAATTAAACTTTGTGTCAGTTTTAATTTAGGTAATGTCATCAGGGAGCAGAAGACGCATAATCATTATTTAAACCTGCCAGTCTCATTTCATTTCTTTCTGTGGCAGTTGGGCCACGACATATTAAAGAGGATGTCTCTTTAATGCTTCAGTGCTGCTTTCGCGTTGCCTAGAACACTTTGTTTTGACAGTTTAGTTCGGAAGAAAAGGAGAAAGAAATTTGTCAATGTTACCATTTTGTCATCAAAGAGTTGTTATGACATCTGCAGGATCTCAGATAATTAGGATGCAAAGGAAACAAAGAATCACACACAATAGGTAGGGGAGGAATGTTCAAGAACAAAAGACCAATAGCACAGGCACATCAGAGTAGAGAATAGTAAATGTACACTGCTGAATGGTAAACACAAATCATCATCTAGACCTAGGCAATACTGCCTATTCCACTTCCAAAATATACTTTTCAAAAGCACAATAAGTTTTTGCATGTGACAGATCCTTTCAACTTAAATTGGCTAGTTTCCAGTCTGGAGTCACTACTGTGTACAATACCCTACTAGTTACTTTATGGAAGCCAGAGAAGCACAGCTCAAATATAAGATATGAAAACGACAAAAGGTAACCTCGGCACATTGGCATGGCTATTATAGTAGGAATGCATGAAACTGACTGTTATTGCTTTGCAAAAACTATGCTCAAATTTGGGTCACTTGGCTAAATTTGACCATTTTGGCTAAATACATTTTAGTCAACAGAGAAAGCACATGTCTTACGGGCCAGAGCAAGTATTACATTTCCACTGTTTATTTGATGATAACTAACATTAGCTAAAGTGGAAAACTATACCCACCTTGGCTCTAGTGACGCAACGTCCTAGTGAAATCTTCTAGCAGCCGACTGCCGAGTATTGTTCGCTGGCCACACATATTGGCTGGATGGGGATGACATCAATCCCGTGCAGGCTTGGTTTCAGAACTGCCAAATTTCTGCAGTGAGCTGTGCATGCACAGCTCACTGTAAAGGGTAGGACAAGCAGGTAGGTAATTTTAATGCAGAAGACAGAGATGTTCACTCATTTTTGTGTATGTGTATGCATGAATGTGAGTTAGGGAACTTAGATTGTGCACTCTTTGAGGTTTAGGGACTGATGTGAATGTACAATATACACTGCTCAAAAAAAATTAAGGGAACACTTTGAAAACACATTAGATCTCAATGGGGGAAAATATCATGCTGGATATCTATTCTGATAAGGACTGGGTAAAGTGTTAGGAATGTAAGGATGCCCCATCGTTTGATGGTAATGAAAATGGTCAACCTACAGAGGACGGAATTCAAAGACACCCTGAAAATCAAAGTGAAAAAAATGATGTAGCAGGCTAGTCCATTATGCTGAAATGTCATTGCAACAACTCAAAATGGTACTCAGTAGTTTGTATGGCCCCCTCACGTGCTTGTATGCATGCCTGAGAATGTTGGGGCATGGTACTAATAAGGTGACGGATGGTGTCTGGGGTATTTCCTACCAGATCTGGACCAGAGCATCACTGAGGTCCTGGGCAGACTGAGGAGCAACCTGGCGTAGTCGGATTGACCGAAACATGATATCCCAGAGGTGTTCTATTGGATTTAGGCTAGGTGAGCGTGGGGGGCCATTCAATGGTATCAGTTCCTTCATCCTCCAGGAACTGCCTGCATACTCTCGCCACATGAGGCCAGGCATTGCCATGCACCAGGAGGAACCAAGGACCCACTACACCAGTGTAGGGTCTGACAATGGGTCCAAGGAATTCATCCCGATACCTAATGGCAGTTAGGGTGCCATTGTCTAGCCTGTAGAGGTCTGTGCGTGTCCCTCCATGGATATTCCTCCCCAGACCATCACTGACCCACCACCAAAAAGGTCATGCTTTGGGGGTCGTCTCATTGTTGCCCATTTAGGGCACCTGTGGTTAATTTCATTAACACCAAAGCAACTGAAACTGATCAACAACAACTGATTAACAACCCCCTCTGCTATTCAACTGCCCAGATCAATATCCCAGGAGTTTAATTGACTTGATGCTATACTCTGATTAAAAAGTGTTCCTTTAATTCTTTGAGCAGTGTATATATACATGTAAAGCTATGCGCAAATTTATGGCGCTATATAAGTACCTGTAATAAATAATAATAATAAGACATTTTTTATTTTTCACTTTAAGATACCAAAATAGTAGATACATTGGGGGAATGCATTTTTTTTCATTTTCAAAAGTTTCTTTTTTGTCTGTGGAATACATAGAAAATAAAAATAGTTTCACAAGACAATATTGCCAAAAGAAAGCCTAGTTTGTCCCCACAAAAAAAAAATTATGTTATGGGGGGCAAACTAGGCCTTCTTTGGCAATATTGTCATGTAAAAAAATTTTTTTTGCTATGTGATCCAGAGAAATAAAGAATTAAAAAATGCATTTTAAAATTATTTTAATCAGTGTTAGTTTGAAAAAAGTAGTTTTACTATAGTCCATTTTATTCCTGAAAAAGTGTGGTTTTACTAAAATACATTTTATTCTATAATTTTCCTATTTAAAATGACTCTAAAATGTCAATTAAATAGGAAAAATTAAATAGTAAATGAAACAAATTAAATAGTAAATGAAATGAAACCATCAAATTAATTATTTGTACTCAATGACACTTGTAGACTAGTTTCTATTTCAAAGTAAAGTTATTTACAAATTAAACTTTAACTTTTTTTTTTTTTCATTTTTGTGCATTTTCTTATTATGCGAGAATTAAAAAAAGTAACAAAATGAATTAAATATGAATGATAAAAAATAGAAATAAAACAAATCAGTAGAAAAACAATAGCTATGAGAAAGCAATAGAAAAATATAGTTGATTAGGGTTACCTAAGGGTTAAAAAGTTCACCTTTTGTGAAAATAATAAATGCACATGATTTTGCTGGTTAAAAAAATGTGCATTTATTACCTTCATACAGTTACTGCAGGAAGTGTCAGTTAATTACAAGGGCGCTGATAAGCACCTTGGTAGTTCATTGGGAACTACAAGCCGTCTGTCACAGTGGCAGAAGGGGTTTGTAGTTCATTCATTCACAGATTGCTGTAAATGAATGATGTGGCTATATGGGCAGAGTAGTGTGGGGAGAGGAACCCCACCTGTTGTCGTAGAGTAGGATCAGGGGATGAGCAGGGCTTCTACATTAGTAACATGCAGGGGCGGACTGACCATTTGGAAACTTGGGCACTGCCCGAGGGCCCAGGGTCAATAGGGGGCCCCATGATATGCCCCTGGTACCTTTTTCATAGGCTTTTTTGAGTTTGGACAAGGACATAGGGGCCCCATGATCCCCTATTGCCCGGGGCCCCATGAAATTGTCAGTCCGCCCCTGGTAACATGTTACACCCTGATTATGGGTGTAACATGTTATCAAAGGTGAACTTTGATAAAATGTTAAATAGGAATACATTTAAAAAGGATTTTATTTTTTGCACTTGTTATGTTTTTAACTACAGTTGTGACCAAAATTATTCAACCCCCACTGAAATTGAGTGTTTTGGCCAGTTTGACATTGCTTTTGATCATTCAGTCATCTTGCTTACATTTACATTAAAGAGGCACTTGTAGGTCAGACAAATATAACATAACAGTTATAATGAAATAACCACAAATGTCTTTTCTGTGCTCACAGCATTATCAGTTTTATTCAACCCCCAAGTGACATTCAATCTTAGTACTTAGTACAGCATCCTTTTACAGTTATAACAGCTTTTAAACGTGAAGCATAGCTTGACACAAGTGTCTTGCAGCGATCTACGGGTATCTTCGCCCATTCTTCATGGGCAAAGGCCTCCAGTTCAGTCACATTCTTAGGCTTGCGCACTGCAACTGCTTTCTTTAAGTCCCACCAGAGGTTCTCAATCGGATTTAAGTCTGGTGACTGCGATGGCCACTCCAAAATGTTCCAGCCTTTCCTCTGCAACCATGCTCTAGTGGACTTGGAGGTATGCTTGGGATCATTGTCCTGTTGAAAGGTCCAACGTCTCCCAAGCCTCAGGTGTGTGACGGACTGCATCACGTTTCCATCCAATATCTCCTGGTACTGAAGAGAATTCATGGTACCTTGCACACACGCTGAAGCTTCCCTGTACCTGCAGAAGCAAAACAGCCCCAAAGCATGATTGACCCTCCACCATGCTTCACAGTAGGCAAGGTGTTCTTTTCATCAAAGGCCTTGTTCTTCCTCCTCCAAACATAGCGTTGATCCATGGGCCCAAACAGTTCTAATTTTGTTTCATCAGTCCACAGAAACACTATCCCACAACTTTTGTGGTTTGTCCACATGGCTTTTGGCATACTCTTCTTATTCTTTGGAGACAGCAAGGGGGTACGCCTGGGAGTTCTGGCACGGAGGCCTTCATTACGCAGTGTGCGTCTTATTGTCTGGGCTGAAACTTCTGTACCCACATCTGACAAATCTTTTCTCAGTTCCTCAGCAGTCACACGGGGACTTCTCTCCACTCTACGCTTCAGGTAGCGCACAGCAGTCGAAGTCAGCATCTTTTTTTGCCACGACCAGGTAGCGTTTCAACAGTGCCCTTTGCCTTGAATTTGCGAATGATGCTTCCTAAGGTGTCTCTTGGTATGTTTAACATCTTTGCAATCTTCTTATAGCCATTGCCCTTCCTGTGAGAGAGAAATCACCTCTTCTCTTGTCTTCCTGGACCATTCTCTTGCCTTCACCATGTTTGTAACCACACCAGTAAATGTCTAGAAGGAGCTGAGTATCACAGTCATTTTTAAAGCTGCCTAATTGGTGCTTATTATGCTTGATTGCTGCTCGGTGACATCCACAGGTGTTTTCAATACCTGATGGAAAGCACCTGTATGAACCTCTGTTCTTCAGAGTGGTAGTCTTTAAGGGGTTGAATAATTGTGGCAATGAAGAAACCACATAAGAACCATTTACTACTGTATTACATAAACAATTGATGTCATTTTAGTTGCATTTGGGTAGTTACAACGTCCTTGTAGGATTTGATTCTGAATACAATTCCAAATGTACACTATAGTCCCTAAACCCCTTTACAGCATTGGGGGTTGAATAATTTTGGTCACAACTGTATCATCATATGCAGTTGCAGATCAAAAGGTCACACCTTTGATTGACATAGGGCCATTCACACCCCTGGAATCCCCCAAGTGAACATACCTGCTCAGTGGGGGATCTGTATGATGATTCCTGCTGAGCAGGCAGATGACAGGTCTGTGTTTGCTCTGTGTTTGTGGAGAGCGGACACGGACACAGACACAGTCCACTGTTCTCTATGGATTCCCCATCCATCTGTTTTTAGTGGATTGGATTCAGGTGGGTGTAAAAGGACACATGTCCGTTTACATCCGCCTACCTATAGAGACCAATGAGTGATCCAATTGGGTCCACCTGAAAAACGGATAGGTGGACCCAATTAGTTTGCCCGTGTGAAAGGGCCCCCATACAAATTAAATAGTAAATGAAATGAAACCATCAAATTAATTATTTGTATTTACTCAATGACACTTGTAGACTGGTTGCATTTTGACAGCTACTCCTGCTGTGTAATGCAAAGCAATTGCTATCTGTCAATATGACCAACAGTGATTGCAAATAAGAGCGATGGGGTAGTTGAGGAGAATGTAGGAGATGCATCTTTTTTTAGGACTTCTCTCTTATGGTCAAAATCTTTGAATTGTTAAGGGTGCTTTGAGCTTTAATAACTCCTGAGAGTTATGAAAGCTTGTGCACATGCTCCTCTTGTTTAAGAATTAAAGTGTTACTAAACCCACAACAGTAAAATCAGACTGTATATGCAGTAAAGCATGCTTGTTATACTCATTGTGGAACCTAAGGGGTTAATCCTCTGCATTGTGTAAAAAGTCTGTTTCATCCTTTCTTCTCTGCCCCTTCTCTTGTTAAAATGACCACCTGATAGAGACTTGAATCCGTAGACACATGCACATGCTCAGTTTAGTGTGTATTGCTAGAGAGGTTTTTTTTTCTTGGGAGAGTGCATGTGATCAGCACAGGGCCAACTAGCACTGTCCAGACAGAGGATCAGGGGTTTCACATTCTCCTAGAGCAGAAAGAAAACTCCTCCTACAAGCTTTAACCAGTGCTCTGTTGCAGTCACAAGACTGCTCTAACTGCTGATGAGAAAAGGTATTTATCAGTTTATATTTACTATAATAATTGCATTTCCATGTTGTGTGTACTGTGGGAGACCAGATATGGGTTTAGTATCACTTTAACATCAACAAAAAAAATTTAAATGGAAAAACAAATCAGCAGGGAAATAGCAGTGACGAAGAGAGGAGGAGAAAGAAGCTAATTTGAACAGATTAGAGTTAATAAGGGGTTGCTTTAACTGGTCTGATATACAGATCATGCACCTAAATGAACCGCTGTAAGTACCATGTAACAATACTGTTATTTGATGTTGATATTTAACGTAGCTACCAAACACTCCTTGAATGCTTGATTGTATATACTATATACAGCCATGGCCAAAAATATTTCTGCCCCTGCAGTTCTGTCAGACAACGCATCACTTTGCCAAGAAATTGCTGCAATTACAATTGTTTAGGCATTCTCATGTATTTCCTTTGTTTGTATTGGTATGACACAAAAAGGTGGAGAAACAAAAACCAAATTGCATTGAAATAATTGCATTCCAAGTTTGTGATGCTCCTGTAATTTGTAATTAACCTCACCCGTATCAATTAACAGGTGCTGACAATATAGAACTCACACCAGCAACCATGTAAAATGGCCAGATTGGCCAGCATAAAAAAGCCAGATTGGAGTTTGCCAAAATTTACCTGAGGAAGCCAACATCCTTTTCGGAGAATGTGCTGTGGACAGATGAAACAAAATGACAGTTTTTTGGTAAAGTCCATCATTCTACTGTATTCAGAAAAAGCAATGAGGCTTTTAAAGTAAAGAATACAGTCCCTACAGTCAAACATGGTGGAGGTTCACTGATGTTTTGGGTTCGCTTTGCTGCTCCAGGCACTGGATATCTTTACCGAGTGTATGGCATTATGAAATCTGAACACTACCAAAGAATTCTATGGTGCAATCTGGGGCCCAGGGTCAGAAAGCTGGGTCTTTATCAGAGGTCATGGCAGGACAATGACCCAAAGCACATGTCAAAAAGCAACCAGAAATGGTTTCAAACAAAGTGCTGAAGAGTACTGAACTGCAAGCAATGAGTACAGATCTCAATCTCATGGAGCACCTGTGGAGAAATCTCAAAACAGCAGTTGGGAAAAGGAACCCTTCCAATCTGAGAGATCTGGAGCAGCTGGCGAAAGAAGAGTGGTCCAAAATTCCAGTAGAGAGATGTAAGAAACTCATTGATGGTTACAGGAAGTGATTGATTTCATTTATTTTTTCCAACGGGTGTGCTACCAAATATTAAATTGAGGGTGGCAATAATTTTGTTCAGTCCAGTTTGAGTTTTTTCGTGGAATGTGTCAGATTTGGCTTTTTGTTTCTCCTCTTTTTTGTGTCAAACCAATAAAAACAAAAGAAATAAACATGAGAATGCCTCAACATTTGTAATTGGAACATTTTTTGGGGGTAAAGTGGTGCATTATCTGACAGAAATGCAGGGGTGCCAATATTTTTTGGCCATGACTGTATATTCAAAATTACAATCTGGGCTTGCCATTAATTTCCTCTGAGAAATTGCAGCAGTGGAAGAGGACCAATATGCTTTAAGACACCTTAAAGGATAAGTTCACCTTTTAGACAAAAATAGTAAATGCACATTATTTTGCAGGTAACAAAATGTGCATTTATTATTTTTGGCTACAGGAGCCTGGAAAGCATTGCACCAGCCATCAGTAGATCACTGATACCATGCAGGACACCTGCAGACCTGTCAGAATATCTGCTTGGCGTACAGAATGTATGAGCAAGCTAATATTCTGACAGGAAGCTTCAATGAACTACCATGGTGCTCCATAATACAGTGATAGTTTATTGAAAACTACAAGTCTGCAGCCGCTAAGGGTGTCGGGACTTGCAGTTCATTCATTCATGGAAATCTGTGAATGAATGACGAGGCTGTGTGGGCGGAGCCCTGCACGGCTGCACTGTTTTCAAATCTGACAGATAGTACAGGGAGAAGTCTCCCTGTACTATCTGTCAGAGAGAGGAGGGTGGCAGGCGCAGCTGCAGCTATGGGAACATGTTACATGTTCCACCTTAAAAACGGGTGCAACATGTAACATGTTTCCAAAGGTGAATGTATCGTTTAAAGAGGTATTAGACTCAAAAACAAACATGTAATAATTTGCAATGCAATGCTTAGATGTGGTGTAGCTGCATTTCTTTTTTTAGGATCTTTTCCCTTTATTTTCACCTGTTGATCCGGCCAAGAAATTGTGTTATTTTTCAACTTACTTTACCAAAACAAGCTGTCCAAACAAAGTAGCAGTTAGGGGGTTGAGACAAACCATTAAACATTGACAGGGGTGCTTACAATGGTCAGCTTTTATTCATTTACTGATGTAAAACCTTTATCAAAAAAAAAAATGTTTGCTGTAACTGTTTATAAAGAGTTCAGCTTCAATTTGTTAGTTAAGTCTGCTAGTCTAATAGTTCCCACCTCCCAGAATGACAATGATTTTGTCTAAAGTTATTATTTTTATTATAATACAGGCTTTATATAGCACCAACAGTTTGCACAGCTCTTTACAAAATTACAGTTACAATACAATTTGGTACAAGAGGAAACAGAGGGCCCTGCTCGTTAGAGTTTACAATCTAAGAGGAAGGGTTGAGTGATACAAAAGGTAATAGCTGTGGGGGATGAGCTGATGGAGGAAATAAAAGTCAGTTTACCAGTTAGAAACAGAATAGGCTTCTTTAAAGGGAAGGGTTTTCAGGGATCGTCTAAAGGTGGATAGATTAGGCAATAGCCGGACAGATTGGGGTAGGGAGTTCCATAGGATGGGAGAAGCTCGGGAGAAGTCCTGGAGGCGAGCATGGGAGGAGGTGACACGGGAACTAGAGAGCAGAAGGTCTTGAGCAGGGGCGGACTGACAACTCATGGGTCCCCCGGGCAATAGTGGATCATGGGGCCCCTGTGTCCTTGCCCAAACTCAAAAAAGCCTATAAAAAAGGTACCAGGGGCATCTCATGGGGCCCCCTACTGACCCCGGGCCCTCGGGCAGTGCCCGAGTTTCCCAATGGTCAGTCCGCCCCTGGGCTTGAGAGGATCGAAGAGAGAGGTTTGGTTGATATTTTTCAGACTAGGTTAGTGATGTAGCTGGAGGGCAGAGTTGTGGATGGCTTTGTAAGTTGTTAGTATTTTGAATTTTATCTGTTGGGTGAGTGGAAGCCAGTGGAGGGATTGGCAGAGAGGGGTAGCAGACACTGAATGGTTGGTATTGTGGATGAGTCTGGCAGCAGCATTCATGATGGACTGAAGGAGGGAAAGCCTATGTAAAGGTAAGCCAATAAGGAGGGAGTTGCAGTAGTCGAGGCAAGAAATAACCAGGGAGTGAGTTAGGAGCTTTGTGGTGTCATTGGTTAAAAAGGGGCGTATTCTGGAGATGTTGTAGAGGTTGAGGCCGCATGATTTGGACAGGAATCAGATATGGGTCTGAAAGGATAGTTCAGAATCCAGGGTTACCCCTAGCACCCTGGCATGCGGGGATGGGTTGATAGTGGTGCTATTGATCTTGACAGAGAAATCAGGGGAAGAGGCATGTAGGGGAGGAAATATTATGAGCTCAGCTTTGGATAGATTGAGTTTTAGGAACTGGCGTGACATCCAGTCTGATATGTAAATAGTAAATATAATAATAATAATAGTGATAAGTGAAGAAACTGATGGGGTGAGCTGAGGAGTAGAGAGATAGATTTGTGTGTCATCAGCATAGAAATGGTATTGGAAACCATGGGAAGCTATCAGCTGAGCCAAGGAAGAAGTGTAGATCAAGAATAGGAGAGGTCCAAGGACAGAACCCTGGGGAACCCCGACGGTAAGAGGAGTAGGAGAGGAGGAAGTAGAGTTGTAAGTGACACTGAAGGTGCGGTAAGATTCGAACCAAAGGACAGTACAGTCACAGATGCTAAGTAAGTAGAATTTTTTGAGGCGGAGGGGGTGGTCAACTGTGTCAAAAGATGTCTGCTTTACTACTTCATCCAGAATTCAGATTTCCCAATGTTTAATTCAACTTCAGTCCCCGTCTTAAAAAAAGCTTCTTTTTTCAGACACTTCTAACACTATCTTCAAGTGAGATCAGCCATGGGATGTAATACAGATTGGATGAGCTTTGCTTTAAAGCATATAGAATCCCCAATTTATTGTAACAGAAGAGTCTATATTGTTTTAAATTAGCGAGCTGTGACAAGCATTCTCTTCCTGTAAGTCTTTGTTCTAGTGCCATTTTACCATTTATGATCAGGATGTCACCAGACTGAGGATCACCGGACTACTTTAACAAACGTCTCCACTATATAATTTGTGCTTCAAAAGAATGAGGCTGTATAGTTCTCTGAAAATATAATTACAACAGTGCATAACAATAGGTAGTTAAATCAAGGTTACACCAAGGTACAAACTGACACTCCAGGCAAACAGAAAAAAACACATTAATTCCACTGAGGAACTCATTTTAACTAGTAAAAAAGCACCTGACAGGTATAACGCTGCTGGAATACAGTGTTCATTAATATTTTGCAACAACTGCTTCGGTATTCAGTAGAAACATATTCTTCAACCAGTAGATGGCAGTGTTAAGTTTGTAGCTGAATCTATGGTGAAACTCTATGTATTTTCTCTATAATGAAGTTCCTGTTTCCTGTTAGCAGAGAAGCAGCAGATAACCACATGTGGAGTGTGCACTGTCTGTTCTGTAGGGCTATATAGAGAATCTCTAACAAAAGTGCTACCATAGAGAGGTTTTTGCAGTAGCAGTTTTCAGTGCCTATGCTCTATCTTATGCCCTATCTTATGCCAGGCTGGTCTGATCAGGCAAAGATCCGAAAGGATCCAACACTTCTGCCCCTTCCTTATGTTCTAATGGTCAGCATCAACATGATGGCTCACCTCACTGGCCAATTTAAATTTGTAGGAGGCAGGTGCTGGCAAATTCTAATTTGCTGGGAATTGCTAAATCTGTGCCTGATCAGAATGTCCTGTCATTCAGGCACATGTAGATGTCTACACTTTATACATGCCAGCAGCTTTTTTCTTTCTGTTTTCAAAGTGAGAAATTCCCTTTCAGTTTTTTTTTTATAATTTTTGAAATAGCGTTTCATAAACATCTTAAAGCAGAACTAAACCTGACTATTCTTTACAGTTGAAGCCAATCACCATTTTATCCTATACGTAGATCTACAGTAGCCATGGTGTATGAGATCAGCTAGGACATCAGCCATTTTAAGGCTTGAAAATGTATTTGAGAGCTGACATAAGCACAATACCAACTGACAGTTGACACCAGAGGCATGTCTTCAATGTAATGGTTTTGGGAAGGTGTTAAGCCCTGTTCACGCTGGCATGAAAAGTAGGAGTAGGTACATTTTTAACTCTCCCAAAACTCCTAGTAAAGCAGTCTGCAATTGATAATATGCAAAGCACACTGTGTAGTTCACATTATTTAAACTTGAAATGTTTGCACTTCTTCAAAAATGAAGCTTTATGTGGAGTTTGGAAGGAGTTGAAGAATCTCAAATCATTCCATTCAAGTCTATGGTAGCACACCATAAACGCACTGACAAACATTTGCGATGCATTTTGCAGCTGGTTAGACCTTGTTCACAAAATCCAAAGAAAAATAAAATTGTCATCTGGTGTGAGTTTTTAAGGTGTCTTTAACACATATAGGCATTTGGGGAGCATGTTTAATGTGTGTTAAAAGTGCATCTAATTCAATTTTATTGCAGCTCTAGACTGTGTTTCAGAGTGAATGGGACACACAGAAAATGATTGTTTTCTGTGTGTACCTTGCAGCGACGCATTTTACAATGCAGTAAAACACTGATCACTGCACATAGTATGAAGTCAGTCTCAATCTTCTTTATTTTGTATCTTGAAATATTTGAATAAACATATATATATACATATACTGTATATATTTTACTCAATCACTTGCACAACAGAAAGGCAGAAGACATGCACTTTGATTTTGATTTTTGGCTTTATTGAATTCTACAATGGTGGTAATCAGATTTCCAGGCACTGGGGAGTTGGTGGGATGGTGGTTAAGCAACCTACAGAAGGATCTGTTGAGTATGCTGGTGGCACAGAAAGCTGTTATAGTAGTGCTATCAGTCTGGGATGCAATGTGGAAGAGGTTTGTGAATCACAGGACTGACTGAACAGAAATGCAATTTTTTTTTGGTAAAACAATTCACATATATTTATTCGAACTGTAGACCCAGCTGTTTATCTTCCATTCTAATTTAAATTTGTTTGTATTTTTACTTAATATGAAAGTAGGTGGCACTGACCTAAACTCCCAGGATACCTTGGGGCACTTCTGACTGTGGAGAGTTGTAGGCCCTTCCTTAGTGACATAGCGTCCTCGTGGTGTTAACAGACAGAGTGCCAACACACACAGTTGCAGTCAGCAGGATTCACTGAATAGGACAGTGACAACGCTGCAGTAATTTCTGAAGCCATTTTGCAGTATTGTCAGCCCTCAGGAAGAAATTATGTCACAGCACCAATATTGGCCAAATCATCAAGTATGTTGACCAATAAATTAAGTTGATTTTTTTTAATAATGCAAAGATAACTATTGGGGGTTAACCATTTAGATGCCAAAATCTGATTTCAACCCTACACTTCAACTGTGACTTCACTAAGAGTGGCTATATAGGGTTCATTAATACCAATTCATGTAACAGATTCCAAAACAGCATTTGATGATATGGCTGTTCATGAATAAATAAATCAGAACAGCGCTGGAACCAACATACAGTTGTACAGTACAAATAATTTCCATTTCCATAGAGGACAGAGACTCGGCCTATCAGTGCACCTTCTGGGGAAAACAAGCTACTCTGGGTCTTGGCATTGATACAATGTGTAGATTTATCTCTCAGGTTCCTCCCCACCCTTCATTTTAGGTCATGGGTCAGTTTGTAGTCATGGTTCATTGTAGAAGTTGAACATTCAAAATAAATTATATCGTATTGAACTTCAAATGTAAAACCACAATACAGTATCTGTTGGTGTAGATTACAATGGCTGTGCTGGCTTTCTGCTAATAGTGACAAAGTTGTGACTGTGACATAGGCTTGTGGTGGGAATATGAGACCAATGACCAGTGTCTATGTTTACTGCTGTCTATGAAGGGAGTTCTTATTATGTCTTAAGGAAAGATAGGCATGTGAAAGAAAAGGTTGTCCTTTTTGAAAGACTTTCTAAAAACATGATATGACATACAGAATATAATTGCTACACAAGCCATTTTGTAATTTAACACATTTTGTTTATTATCAAAAGTGTATCAAAACAATTCTTATAGTATGGAAACCTGTGCATTCTATACACTGTGCAGAGTGCTCCCAATAACCTAATTGCATGCATGTATAACTGGTCTTTGCCTTAAGGCCTGTACAAGGCTTGAACGGAAATTACGAGGCATTCTATGCAGCAGAAGTTTCATTTTTGCTGACATACTTTTTAAGACACTTGCAGGATTAAAGGGATCACAACTGTGCAGCTCTTCTTGTTACAGCAGGAAAGTGCTCAGATGGTGAGCTACCCTCACATGTGCCGCTTAATAATGCTTGGCCCTAGTGGTTGCCCTGACCTTGCAAGTGGCCCAACAACTCTGACATTTTGGGTTCAGATATATTTCAACAGTAAAAAATAAGATTGCAAAAGACACAATTTTAGTAACACCTCTATGTTAGTCTTGTTCAAAAGAGTAGACCACAAGAATAATGGGTTTAGGATATACAACCCCAGATAACACCTAAATATCGAATACTGGTAAAATGTAAATAATCAATTAGCAATGTTTAACCAATTAAACAGTCATGAGTAGTAAGCTTCAACTATTAAACTGCAACACCAGCAGTAAGAGGGGGAAGAAAAGGCTTGTGTCAGCTCCCTCTAGGCTACCGGCACCACCATGGTGGATGCAGAGAATTATGTAAATGTATACTCTGAAATAAATAGATATAAGTATCCTGATTTGAATAACAATGGCATTAGAGAAGAAAAGGTTTCTTTAACTAGAGATGGCAACTTGAGTCCTATGACATTTAAAATTCCTGA